GTTGTTGGAGAGATTGAGCAATAATAGGATCTGCAGTCCAGACTGTAAGCGGGTGGACAGTTGCACAGTTTTGTTCCTCGGGCTCTTTTCTTCAACATGAGGATAATAAAGTCTCAGCTTTAATTTGTGTAGCTTTGCATCTACATAGAAATACTTCTGTAGCAGAGAAAGCCCTGTAGTGCTCTGTGGATAGTTCTTTACAGTCAGTGACTGCCTGGAGTCACGCAGACATCAGCAGATGCTTTGTTTTGTCCCTGGTGATGCTTTCTCAGGACTTCCTGCAGCACCTCTTGCTTGTTTCATGGTCTCTGTTTTTACTCTGGTCTTGAACGCCGCTCAATCAGGCTGAGATCAACTGACTGACTTTGTCCATCAAAAATGTTTTGACCTCTTGATTCTGAAAAGACCTTTTGAAGCTTTGGCTGTGTGTTAAGGATGGACACAATCAGTTTTGATGCATTCATCTCTATAACTCTGCATTCATCCTGTTGCTTCTTTCAGCTTTGAAATCATCTGTAAATGCCAGTGGGCCACTTTCACTGGCAGCCATACACACCTGAGCCATAACCGAAGCACAACCATGTTTGACAGACGAGGCGTTCAGCTTTGGCTCATCGTCTACCTGATTGTCATTTTATAGTGTTTTTGTGCGCATTGTTGTTTCTCAGAATTTGCCCAAATGTTGATTTCTGCAGGCCAGCTGCCATTTTTAGCATCATTATTAACTTTGTCAGTTGTGTGGTTCCCTCTTTACTGCTCATGTTGACAGATAACTCCACTTCAAGCTCCTCTCGACTTATGGTCAACTCTGAACAATGTGTGAGCTCTTTCATGCATGAACTAATGTTAAAACAGGTACAGCCAATCACCAAGTGTCCAGTCACCATTAAGTCCTTACTTTATGGGCACACTTGCTACAAAGTTCTTTCAATATTCATGCAAACCTACGAATGACAATGCTCCAGTAGAAGTAACACGAAGTACCTTTTTCCGTGTGGTATAATAACTGTATAATTTCTCATTCTGAACTATTTAAAAATGTACTAAAAATTTTTTAATTTAATTGTGCAGCTTTTACAGTCTTTGTAACTAAACTATTTACGTTTAGGGATTCTTCTCTTTATTCTGAAGGAACTCCACCTACTAGAGACTGAATGGAAATTGTGGCTTAGCCAAATCAGTTGTGAATATTATTCCTATAATGTGGTATTACAACAGTGTCATTGTTCTTAAAGTTTTAACAACCATTACTGTAATCAACCAATACAGTGTGTTAGTATTTATTCAGCTGAACATTTTTGATGCAGTTGCTTCAGTCTGTATGACGTCAAGCTAAAAGTTTTTTCTTTTTGACTGACATCTTCACGTGTTGCCAATGTCCGTGTGCTAGAATAGTTCGAAATACACCAATTTTATCAAACAAAATCATTCTTTTTCAACCTACACTGTTCACCTGCAAGTAAAAAAAAAAAAAAGCTAGTCACATCTGTGTATTTTAACTTAACAAGAGCTAATGAAGTCACTGCCACTTCCCCTGTGCTACGACTGATTTGCTCTGCAGTATTAACATATGTTACGTCATACACTTAAAACATTTCTTTTAATCAAATTCTGACTCTGCTCACTCTGTGTCCCCCCGTAACCCTCCCTCCAACGTTTCTGTCCTTTGTATCAGAGTACTTGATGATATTATCACCCGTACTTTTTTCTGACTGATCTGATGAGCTGCTTGTAATTTAGATCCGGGCTGTGTGAGCCATCAGGCAGTAATGAGGTATCAAAGTGTGTATCCATCTCTTCCAATGCTGGATTTCTTGAGGGGCATCGGGGGGCTGGTCATGATGTGTGTGTGTGTGTGTGTGTCAAGCCCGAGGGTGCGTCTTAAACACAACCAGTAGGGGAACAGATCGGAGGAGCTAGTTTTTGACTTTGCCCCAGGAAGGGACAGGACTAAAGGCGGCCCTGTGTTTGTATGTGTGTGTGTTCAATTAAGAGAGCAAACGAACGTGTGAATAAATGGTAACCCTACAGGGCCACAAGTCATCGCTTTACACCAAGAGGCGACCACTGACTTTGTATCTTCACATGTGTGTGTGTTTCTGTCCGCATCGACCGTCCAACCACGGACGACCTTCTGCTGGCTGCCAGGGCGATGCCCTCGCCACAGTCATGGACGCTATGGCGATGAGGGCTCAGAGCTGTATCCATGACAGTGCCGTTACCCAGATGCCCCAGCAGCAGCCTTAATTAAGTTGGACGTGATAGGGGCTGGTGGCCACGCTTTCTGTTCTCAGTGATATCCTTTTTCACTTTTTACTTTTGTCCACTTCATCTCTCCTTTCCGAGCTAGCTAAGGTGCTGCCACTATTTGACCCCCGTCGTCCTACAGCCTCTGAATAGGTGTAGAGAAGGCGGTCGGGCGTTGTGTGTTGTTTAGTTCTTCATTAATTGACAGCCTTGGTTGTGCATACTCTGTTGGATCAGGAGGAGCTGTGTGATTTGAGCAGAATGGACAGTTTTTTTGTGTAATATAAGAACTGATATATCTTCTGTGTGGTTCTTTGGGTGCTTGTGTGTTTGTGCATGAGACCGTGTGTGTGTGTGTGTGTGTGTGTGTGTGTGTGTGTCAGGTTAATGACCAGCTTTGCTTCGACCTCCGTGAAGGTCATGTGCCAGTGCTCGTTAGCAGCGTCACCATGGCGATATGTCAGCTGTCAGGGCGATGGACAGGGAGCTGACAAAAAGAACAGTGGGGCGGAGGAAGGGATGAATAGAGACGATGGGAGAGAGAAATCAGAGGAGGGAGGGAGGGAGGACGGACAAGTTCATTTAAATGTGATTCCCATCAGAAGGCCTCTGCCACTCCTCATTAACAAGACACTTATAATTGGCAAGGTTGTTGTGGCCAATCCAGGCCTCTGGGATAGTGTGTGTGTTTGTGTGTGTGTGTGCCACAGAAGGCCACACTATTGGACATAGGGGAGGTGCTGACCCCCTTGTCATACCGGTTCGCCCCGAGGAAACTCCCCCTTCTTTCTTCCTCCGACCGTCTCTCCATCCAGCCGAGAGAACAGAAGGACTAAAGAACATGACAGGTTCAGTTGTGTGTCCGCAGCACTTCCATAGGTATCAGTGGCTTTGTTGTACCAGCGTCGCTCTGTGTGGTGATGGATGATAAGCAGCCTCTTTTAGACCGAATACATTAACATGAGAAACGGTTTCATTCGTTGTCACGTAGAATCAGTGTGAAAAATGCCAATAATACAGAAATGCTGACGTCGGTTTCGGCTGTTTGTTTACTGGATAGTTATGTTAAACATTTCGGAATTTGCCTGAAAATATTGTAGAATAGAACAGAGCTGCAGTGATGTATTGAACAATTAGAATACAGAATAAATAAAGCTTTTTGTTACCAAGTGAGGTTGCACACACAAGGAATTTGACATGGTGAATGAAACTGTGGTACAAGACAAGCAATAAATATAGAAATCTAAATAAAAAATAAATTCTAATGCAAAAGACAAGTATAAAAGTACTATGTAAATAAAAAGTACTGTGACAAGAAGACGTAAACTTGCCTAAACCAGAGTAATAAATTAGAAAACAGTTTAAATCTAATTATATTATCAAATGTCAACTATTAAATTAATACCTATCTATTTTGATAATTGGTTAGTAAGTCTGAGTCTTTTTTCTTCTTCTTTTTTTAGGAACAAAATCTAAATCCTCTGATTCTAGCTGCTTTATTGTTTAATTAATGATTTCTGAGTTCTTTACTTCCCTGTGGTTGTGAACTAAATATCTCTTGAGTTATGGACAAAACAAGACAACTTGAGTTTTCTGAAACACTAATTGACATTTGTCAGAATTGTCTGACATTTCATAGACCGTAAACAGTAAATAAGAAGGTGATCAACGGATTAATCGACAATAAAAATGCACCCCAACTGTACTTTTCAATCTGTCAATTTTTCATAACCGTATTCATGGTAATGTTTTTAATATATTTTAAATATAATGTCTAAATAAGCAAATGATGTAGCATGGAAGATGTAAACAATAAAAAATGTAATAATGTTGTAAACCAGAGGCAGTTCAAGCTCATGACAGACTTATATCTGATCGAGCAGTAATCAGAGTAGCAACAAAAACATCACAGTTTGTGAATAACCATCATTAAACTTGTGCCAGTAATGCAGATACTGACAGATAGAAGTGCTCTCTAATAACCTCTAGATGGCAGTAGTGTCACATAAATTGGCCTAAACGCGGCTGTGTTCTTGCTGTGCTCTACTTTACCAATCTGACTGTCTTTTATCAAAGCGTCTGTAAGTTCATTGTGAAAAAGTGGTCGTACTCTAAACCATGCATGCAGAGAAAGGAGGATTCACACTGTGGGCAAATTATATCAGTCAGTTCTGTGATTCTCTGAATGACCTGTTCTGAACATGCTAAGTATTCATAGTTGTAATAAGCCAGTGGCTCACGCATACATTTGTGTTGCATGTCGTTTTCTTTACGCTTGCTGTGTCAAGCGTCCGAAAGCCTGGAGGGGGGCGTCTGAAAAGATTGTAATTGTACCGTTAATGTTTAGGCAGGGCTCCTTGTTATGAGCCAATTTTGACCATAATGTCAGTGATGGCTACAAAAGGGGCAACTAGAGTCAAATGAGGAACTGCCTTAAGAAGTTGCTGGGTATATTATTTAAGGTGCAAGGCAGCGCAGTGGCGATTTTCTTTAATAGCACGACCATTATGTCTTTCAAGCAGTAATAACAGCCTTACCGTGTGTTTTTTCCTGTCCCCCCCCTCACTTCCTAATTCACTCCCTTTGCACCCGTCTGTCCTCTGGTCCTCACCTCCTACCTCTCACTGGTCAGCCTGTATGTTGTTACAGACACACACACACACACACACACAGATATATATGTATAATATACCATCTGTGTCTTCTTTTTATTTGTGTCAGTCTCACTTTTGTGGTTTCCATTCTTCCCCCAGTATAACCAGTGAGGCAGGAGCGTCCATCTACAGCGTGAGTCCTGAGGCCGTCAAAGAGATGCCAGACCTGGACCCAAACCTTAGAAGTGCAGGTACGCCAGGCAGCCCAGTTGGATTGTTTTGGATGTTATTTGACAGAAGAAGAAAGCTTTGTGATATTGTTGGTAGTGTTTTAATGGGCCCTCGTCTACGGCAGGCTACTGGTGTTGTGGACGACACTGTTTGTTGGACTGCAACTCAATCATGAGTGTCATCGCTTAGTTTTCTTATTGTTTGTCAATAAAATATCAGAAAATATTTTTTAAAAATGGGCATTACAGTAATCGCTTGACCCCATGGTGACCTGTTCAAATTGTTTACTATGTCCAACCAAAGTGTTGAAACCTCAACCCGAGTTGCATTTTTAGCTAGAAAAATGTACAAATGAATATCAGAATAGTTCCCAGATTATTTGAATGACTAGTTGATTAATTGGCTCATTAGCACAGCCACTTGTTTTGAATGATTTTTAACTTTAGCGATTGTGGCTCTTATTGTTTAGGTTAAAGTACATAACACAAGACAAAGAGTTTACATTTTATGGATTACTGTTGTACTGCTCCACTCTACCACTGGGTGTTTTATAACAAGTGATTGATTATTGCTTGAAAAAGCATAACCCCTTTTTCATATATGGAGTATGTGACACTATTGGCTTCATCAATCCATTACAATGTCATTCAGACATGCATCACTTTTCCATCGATGTTCCTCACGGCTTCATTCAGATAAAACCACCACGGTGCCAGAGAGAGTATTTGACATGCACGTGAAGTTTGACAATACACCAAGTGATGTATAAAAACACAGCTTATCAAACTGTCCAAACACCTAATAGTTTATTTCTGATTTCCTAAGCACTGAAAATGATGTTTATGGGTGTTAATAATCTAATGACTTCTGTACCGTCAGTAAAAGAACTTCCAATCGAAATTACAGCTACTCACTAAAGTTAGTGCTGTAAATGGATCCTATTGTTGTCTGATGCTGCAGATATTTAATAAACTCTAAGCAAAGACTCCTTAAAAACAACCAAACTGTGATTCTGTAACAGCTCTCCAGTCTAATGTGAGGAAAAGCACTCAGTGTGACTTCCTGTTGGATCCTGGCCTGAACTGATCCTGCTTCCATGTCGGGAATAATTTATAACTACAAGTACTTAATGAAGTTACGGCCACTGTTGCTCCACCTGCACAAATGCACACAGACGTCTTTCTTTGGAGTCGCTCGTATGGATTCTGCTGCCTGATGGTAGTTAATAAACTGTGGAGTAAAATTGTTCCTAGCAGCTGAAGGAAACAAACTTCTTGTGGGGAGGTTAGCCACTGCATTTTCTCTTATCTCATCATATTTACTGTAGTTTTATTTCTATAGGCACAGCAGGTAGCAGCATAAGAGGAAAAAAATAGAAGAACGTCAGTGAGAAAGGTGTATAGTGATTTTTTTTTTCTTTTGCTCCCTGTGATGTTTTGGGACTAATATCGGTGCTAAAATTTGGAGAACGTTTTCCCCAAATCACTTCACACGACGTAAAGTGCCGTTGCTTGTGCGTACTGATCCGTTAATGCGACTGGGTGCAGCTCAGACTCATTCAGTTGCTGCCAGATTAGCTGAAACAAGTGCGTGTCTGAAAGTGTTTATTTGAGAATCTCAGAATCAAAGCAATCAAACGAGTGTCATATTTCAGTGATTTCCAACCTGTTCCTTAACATCTAATTTTCTTTTCTCACACGCCTACAAATCGTAACTTAGTTTACAGTGTGAGCAGTCAGAAATTATCCTCATGGATTTAAGCTTTAATTTTTTCAGCAACATACAGTGCTGTCACATTATCAGGGAATTTCTGGCATTGCTATCAGGTTCTCCTGTGTCTCTGCTGCTTTTCCTTACCTCTCCCCCTCCCTTGCTCCTTCTCCCTAACTCACTCCACATAGTACATCATTGAAAACACAGCAGAATAAAAAAGAATCAGTTTTGGAGAACAAATGTTTCCAGCAGACTTCCTCTATAAAAGCCATAAATCAAGCAAGGCTGGATTATTCCTCACTACTTTCCTGTGGTCAGCAGCACTGCGAGCTGCAGAGAGCCATATTTATACCCCTATCGAAAGCCATGAGAAATGTGCTGAGCCGCAGCACTATGATAACAGTCTATCTGTCTGTTTTGCCTTTTGGGGGGGTGGGTATGCATGTTCCTGCCTCTGTCTGTGTAAGTGGCCGTGTAACATATGGTCTGTAGGAAGCTGTGAGTTACAGGCACCTTACATTGATTGTTGGCGATCAGGGACACCTAGTGGTGATAGGCAATATTTCAATCATTCTTCAGGGGGTCTTGTTTTTGTTCTGTTGATTTCTGTGCACCAACCGTCTCCTCCAATCTGAGGACTGAGCAGCTTCTCCCTTAAAGTCGAGCTATTTTGACCAAACTTTTTCACCAGAATGCCGCACGTCACATTCTTCCCGTTCTCCTGAGCGATGCGTCCGCCTCTGGACAGGGCCTTCCTCTCTTGCTGTTTTCTTCATTGCGTCCCATCTTTGCAGCACCGTGTTCGGCTCATAAACTTTCAATAAGTCGGGGAGAGTCTTGCTGGACTTAATTTACAAATCAGAGAGAGAGAAAGGGGGGGAAGAGAGTCAGAGACAGGATAGATGGAAAGAGTATTGGAGAGTTTTGGTGGTGAGCAAGGCTAGGGTTGAAACTCCATCCCTGTCTAAATATTATCTCAGGCAGCAACCTCCTGCCGCAGCCAGAGGAGAGAGAGGAGAGCCATTGATTCCAGACATACTCCCTCTATTACATCCCATCCTTCTCGCGCTCTTTGTCTGTCTGTTCCGCTTCAAAGATCTAAATCTGATGCATCTCATGCAGCATAACTACATCCACGCTGAGCACTGAAATTTAAACATGCAGATAGCGCGCACACGTACAGCAGCAGTGGAAAACAGCAGCACAGGAAGGACAAAGGAAGGCACAAACTGTCCTGTAATTTTATTTATAACACATTGTGTTTTCAAAGCCTAAATTTGAGGTGTATAGGATTTTATTCTAACCCTAACTATTAAATACACAGATAAGTGAGTTCTTGAAGTCCATTAGAATTTCAGGAGTGTAATTTTTCCAGATTTGCAAAATGATAAATAAGAAATAAATGACAGTGTGAGATGTCAACACACAGAGCTGGCAGAGCGTGTCTTTAGCAGGGCTGTGAAAGTGATCAGTTGTTTGGTTGTGTTACTCTCTCTCCTCTCTGTGTGCGTGCTGGCCGGTGATGTCATGTGTATGTGAATGAGGCTGTTTGTAATTTTTCTCCTTGTCACCGGGCCTTGCCAGCATAATCACGGAAAAGACATTTGACTTCATCTGCAATAGCCGGCTAAAGCCTCGCAGAGTCTCCCGCTTAAAGGTCAATACCTCATGTGTGTGTTTATTTGTGTGCTACATTTGCCAGTGGACTGGATAAATGTGTGGGTTTAAAGGTTTGTGGTTCCAGCATCTATCAGGAAGCAAAATGACAGGTGCAGAGACTCCAAGTGAATGCCAGCTTTAATTATTATTATTGAGGGGGGCAGAATGACAATTAGGTTTGGCCTGCCCTCAGGCCAGCACTGTAATATGCAGACGATTTGCATATTCAGTAATTATAAATAATATTGATTTGCATATTCAATAACTGTGTGTCACATAGCAAGTTCATGAAAAACACAAACCACAGAATCTCAGGAGACATAAGATCTCATTTGTGCTTCCTCCCTTTGTGTGTGTGTGTGTGTGTGTGTGTGTGTGTGTGTGCACATGTGTGTGTGTTGACAGTGTCCATTGGAAGACGTGTCCAAGATCCGCTGGCTGAGCTGGTGAAGATAGATCCCAAACACATCGGCATTGGAACATACCAGGTAAGTGTGTTGTCATATTTGTGGTGACGGCTGTAATTGCTTGTTGGCCATAAAACTGCAAGCATGCAATCATGCACGTGTACGCTTTTGTTTTTTTGTCTTTTCAGTTTCCTTGTCACCTTGCCTCTAAGCCCTATACAAATCAAAACCTACCCATTTCATACCCCCTAATACTTTGTCCTTACAAGCCACTGGCATAATCTTTCCATCCTAAGCAGTTTGCAGGCTCTTTTTTTTAACTCAGTTATTCACTTCCTGTACAGTTTAGGTGTGACTTTTGCATTTAAGGCAAAACCAAGACAGCAGAAATGGGACGGGAAGCATGTAGGAAACAGGAGATGGGACAGCACATATGAGGGGGTAAAAAAAAAAAGTCAACCAGGTTGAGAAAAGAGGGACAAGCAGGGAAGTAGATAAACTTGGCTGAGGGCTGTGTCAACAGATGATGCTAAGGATGAGTAATTCAATTAATGGACATCAGGCATGACGTATGTTTGGACATTTGTTTTTGCTTGTGTGATCGCTGCTCTTCATCCATATGCGCTGCAGCGTGTGCGCAGATGAAGCAACTGCTGGCTCAGTGTTGATTTTGTGCGTTTCGAGTGTGTATGTAATTGTGTGAGGAAGGCAAGATAAGCATTAGCTCAGCGCGGCCTACTATTAGCATCAACTATGAAAGCCGTATTGTTCTCCATGTATGGTAGGTCCTCGGAGAAAAGAGCATGAGGGGATGGAAATAGAAAGAAAACAAAGAAGGACGGAGGATGACAAAGAGAAATACAATGAGGTCAAGGTATTGGACTGCCAGCTAATCACGATGGAACCAGTATTGATTAGTTCACCAAAAAAATGACAGAATCCAGATGATAAAAGTTATTTTGTTTAAAATTTTATTATATTGATTTACAAAACATTACCTGAAGGGGATGTAGGAGAGGGTGTAACGTGTTAGATATTAGTGTTAAATTCTGTTTGTGATGAAAATGTCAAGTCAGTTTAATCACTGGGTAATAATAAGATACAGGTAGACTCTAAATCTGACTATTTTTCTAATTTCCAAAGCCAAAAACTGAATGATTAGGTTTTTTTGCTTGATAAATCTTTGCGCAATTGTTGTCCATCAATTTTTCAATTAACACATTAATTGAAAGTGTTTTAGCTGTGAGAAGTTCAATGAGTCCTCACAGGGACTGAGGGAAAGTTCTGCTCCTGCACACTAAGCCAGTGTTGTGCAGCGTATACTGTAGCTAAGAGAAACGCCGGTTATTATTTATTTAGCTTTCATCAAGGTCAAAATGTTTTTTAACGTTTAGCAGCTGACATTTGGGGAGAGTAAAAAGCCTTTTTATATGTTAGTGTTGGCCGATTTTTCAGTGTTAACAAGAAAGAGAATCCAACAGTGTCGAGAAGGAGCCTCAGCGGAAAACCGCTCTGAATGTGAGGGAGAGGAGAAGGAGTTGGGGGGTTACAAAAGGACAGCAGAGGGTGACAAAAGTCAAAGGAAAAAGGGATGATGGGGAGATTTCTAGGTGACGGGGAAAATAATGGACATTTGAGAGTGAACGGAGCAGGTCGTATTGTGCAAGTGCTTGTGCGTGTTGGGTCACAGGCCCGTGTCTCTCATCACGTCCTGCCTCGGGCTCTCTGGGGTGCCCTGGGTTCTGCACCTCCCGCTCTCAGATCATGTGACTAGGTCAACAAATGATAATATAACCGAGTAAATAAACTCCGGGTGCTGACAGATATGAGATGGGACATCATTTTGACCTGTGTGTGAGCTCACACAAACACACACACTTCCCTCCCGTCCCTCTTCACCGTCGATCGGCGAGTGCGTGTGTGCTCACATGCATTTAATATCTGAATTTAACGTGTACGTGTGAGAAAAGTGCACTCGTGCATGTGTGTGTTTTCCAGCAAGTTCTTTTGTGTGATTCATGGCGTTTTGAGCTTTCTGAAAGTTTATTGCCATTAGACCCAAAAAGCATAAGGGCAGATGTAACTCTAGACAGCTGGCACAGCATGCGCTCTCATTCTCTCTCCTTCTGCTGACCCAGTGAGTGACAGCTCGGAGAGAAAGGCGGAAATGAGCTGAGGGCTGAAAAAGTGAGGCCCATTAAAATCAGATTGGACGTAAGTATTGGTGTGGGAACATTGTTTTCACTACAGCACCACTGGCTGACAGGTTTTCTGGATACTGATTTGGCCCGATACATGTCTGACTGGAGAGCCAATGTTATTAGTTTTTGTTTTTGTAGTTGTGATAGAACACAATACCTTTCAAAAGGCTGCTTCTGTGTCGTTCACAACACCGACGCAGACAAACATTGCAGGAGCATTGTGTCCTTTAATAATTAGACACTTAATAGGTGTGGCCTCTGAACAAGTCCTTCATCCGTCAGTCAGCTCTTTATGTTGCTCTGGTCTGTTGACAGCTGGGTAATCCCCAGGGCCGTGAAACTAACTGCTACTGCAAAATACACACACAGACACACACTGCTGTGTAAGAAAACATCGCCTGCCAGCCGGATATTAAAGAAACTGTCACTCTTCTTCTCCTCACCTCTTTCAGCCGTCCTCCCTCCCGAGCTCCAACTTTTTTGCGAGAATATCTCCTCTTCTGTTCCAGTGGCTGCCCATCATCCTTTCATATCAGGCTTTTTTTTTTCTTCTATCTTTCAAGTGTTAGCATCATGGGTTATAGCATCAGATGTAGGTGAAGGAATCTGAAGTTTTGTTTGCAGCTTTCTGTCACTTTGTCAGCTGTTTGACTCAGAGTCTGATCAGAGCTGTTGTAGCAAACAGATCATTTTAGGCTTCAGCTTTTAAACTGGGCTCCATGTCTTCTTGACACTTGATGGAGCTGCCAGTGATGAAGAAAAACACATCCTGTTGGTGTTTTTAACCAGAGGCTAAATGTGAATTTGGTAATCAGATTGTGTCTGGAGACACTCTCCTACCCCCACAGTGTCGTTCCTTCATCCCATCACACTTTTGTTCGTTGCTTGACCCCTAAAATCTTCACCTTTTTCTCTCTGTCATTGTTAACTCCTGTTTGCAAATCTACTTCCCATCTTTTGATTACAATCACATTTGCATATTCCCAGCTATGACCATCTGTATAAAATGTTGTGCTCTGTTAACGTTCTGGGTCGGCTAAGCTTTACAGATTCTTGTTTACGTGTCTCTAAGCCCACCGTGTGCCGAAACACCAATAAAACAGGCTACTACAGCAAACTTCTGATTAGGATTAAACATGTCATCCGAGGAACACCAAACCCAATCCTTGTGGAAAGAAAGAGATTAGGAGTTGTTTAATGTTAAAATGTCATATTTATAAGTTTTCCCACAGACAGTGATGAGTGTCTTTCAACTTAACCAGGTCAGTTGAAAAACTGAGTCTCCAGGCACATTTGCACCGACTTAAAAATGTAGTTTACTGAATGTGAGTTTTTTTGCCTGCGGCTAGTGCAAGTGAAGTCACTTTAGCACCAAGACCACTGATCCTTATATTGCTTTGTGTGTGTGTGTGTATGTGTGTGTGCGGCCGTGCAAGTGTGTGTGCGCTGGCTGGAGCTTGCTACCTTTCACTCCTGAATGGTAGTGCCTACAGGGGAGACAGGAGCAGACAGAGCCGAGGGAAGGAAGAAGAGCGAGAAATGGAGGCTTTGACAGTGATTGATAGTTCCTGCCTCTGCTTTCTGAGGCGTGGGAAAAAAAAAAAAACTCACTCTCAAAGTCTTCGTCAGTGGCAGAAGCTGCCAAACATTATCTGATACCATTTTAATTATTTCCTCTCGATCTGTCACAGCATGTTATTGAGTGTTCATGCGTTTAAGTGCAAGTGTGAGTTGAGCGAATCTTGTGTTTTTGCTTGTGTAATGGATTTGCACGGGCTGATGCCAGTTGTCTACTTATTCAACAACTTAGAATACATTTACAGGCTGTTGTCATGTCAGGCTATTTATTCTAGCGCTTTGCTTTTCTACCGAGACTGCCACGTGCTTCATATAAAAGGAAATTAACCACTGGTTGAATGGTGAAACACGCACCACAACACTCAAGCTGGATGAGATTATTAACAGGATGGTTAAACAAAGATTAAAAAAAATTGAAACTGAGAAGTAGAGGTCTATCTTTGAGTGCTGATAATGAAGATTTGGAATCAGCTGATTGAAGCTTATGTGACAGGGGAAGCTATTTTCTTACTTCTTGACCACAAAATAAAAGCATAAATCGCTCCCACCGACTTCCTGTTTTAACATTTGGTGAAACATTTTGTCCAAATATTCCAAACTGATTTTATTTTAAGTAAGAAATCCTGCTGAAGTCATTTCGACTTCCTGTGCCTGTATTGGAACTTATTCGGTTCCCATTTTCTCATGTTCTGTTTTGCAGTCCCTCTGGTGTTATGTGGGTGTGTGTGTGTGTGTGTTTGTGTGTGTGAATAAGTGCGTCGTTAAATACCCGTCATAAATCATCAGGTGAAAGTGATACGACAGCGAGGAGATGGTTTTGTGTTTTTCCAACACCTTTTATCAAACCCTAATGGCTATTTCTCAACTTCCTGCAAAACAATCAAACACACATGCTTGCACACACACACACACACACACCAGTATACAGAGCCAAGCCTACATGCCTAGAATAGTACACAATACGCTAAAGAGGGACTTCACAGGGGCCTTAAAGAGGCTGTCAGTCAAGGAGAACCTGACCTTCAGATAACCTCAGGCACCTTGTTCATCTGTGCATAGTCCACTGATTATCTAAGAGTGAATGACGTGTAGTAGCAGTTTCACACACCCAGGGAGTGCATATTTAAACAGAGCTACTATCCCAATATATATGTTTTTCCTTTTTCAGGCCTAAGTATTTCTAAAGTTTCCAAATAACAACCAAGCTCCTCTTCTTTTTTTTTAATGGCAGCTCAACAGCTCGTGACAGTTTGGTATCCTCCTGAAATTTGCTTTGCCCAGTTCTGTGGTATTTTTGGTGCC